ACTGACACAGGAGCACAGAAGAGCCATCCATGCACACCATTTCATCTGAAAACCAAAACCGAGTAATGCTTGAGGGCAGGGTTAAAGTACTTAGTAAAAGAATATGGGTGCTAGGAATCACATCTCGCACTCGTTCATCGAAACCAACCAACATAAGGCAACAAAGCATACCACCATCGCTCTGGTTGCTTTCTAATTTCCATTTTTTGGACGAGATTAGACACTTATTGCAAGGGTCTCATAAGGATCCTAATCCTTATAAGAATCAGAACTTATAGCAATTCAAGAAGGTACATACCCGCATCATCAGACCGCACATACTGAATATCATTCCCAGAACGTTCATGTATTCTGGCAAAGGGTCATCTGTTACAGCATTGGCTGATTGAGGATCTGCAGCTTTGAACCTAAAAATTATGGAGTAATAAAGATCATTCAGGAAAAAGGAATCAAAATGATGAAATCCTGGATGATGCAGTATCAAAGTTAGAAACAAAATACACAAACCTTACAATCTTGTTCGGCCTTCGTGGATCGGCAGTGGTCTGCATTGTGCCTAATTAGCTGAAATACATAGAAGATCAGAACAAAATGTCCTACTCTTTGGGGCAACCAGGAAACCGCTTTAAAATGCAATACGCACCGTTGGCGTCTGGTTACTGAGGTCAATGAATACTAATTCGTTAGTGACAATGGAATCGCATGCAGTATCAGGGACAAACATATGTAGCGCATTGGCCCTATATACGCAGTCCAAGGTACATAAAACTAGACAAAGACCAAAGAAAAGTATTATGATCGGAAAGTATAACATTCAGATCAAAAGAAATTCTTGAGGTCTGAGGACTATGTTTACAACCAGTGATGTAAAAAAAATCTTCGGGAAAGAAACGAGCATGAATGAATGGAGAAAGACTGAGGAATAAAACTTGTTTGGGAAATATTGCAAAAAATGTAATGTGAAGGACCGTCAAGAAAAGATAATTCGGTGTTCGAGATTACTGTAGGTGCATCTCTGGTGATTTACGGACGTGACATCGGACAAGACGACGTAGTTAATCTTCTTTTTCTTTTCAAAACAACGTTGCTTTATTTTACTTGTATATAGAGATAGGATATTATATTTTAATGTATTTTATTACGTTTTGTGATTCCCAGAAATGGAAGAGTCGTTAGAAGATCGAATAACTACGATCGAGAGAGCGTTGGGCATTGACGAGTGTACAGACGTGAGTCATGGTTTTTCTTAATTTCTTCTAGAATTCTTGCAGATAATCATCCTCTCAGCCACATGGTAATCTTATCCACTATTTGCATCCAGAAAATGTTACAGTAATAAATGACCTAAGCGTTCCAAAGGGTAGTGAAAAGAACAATACAATACCGGCGATCAAGAAAGGCTCACACTTCTCCGCAATAGCCGCGATTATTTCACTGTGAATATTAATTTCTCGAATGCCTGT